TATATATATATATATATATATGTATATATATATGTGTGTGTATGTATATGTATATATATATATGTGTGTGTGTATGTATATATATATATATATATATATATATATATATGTGTATGTATATATATAAGGGTTGCATTTCTTTTATTCTCATCTCCATTGGCAACTAGTTTCCAAGTTTCCATTTGTTGAGAGATCTCCTCCCCTTTCACCATTCTCAAACACTCAACACCACATGGATATTGGTATGCTTCTCTTTCTTCCTCTTTCTTGCGATAATTCATTATTTCTTACTGGATAAGTGGCGTTGATCTGGTAAGAATATTGTTTTTTAACCAGTTTTGACTTATGATGTCGTTAACCGAAATGTTTTCTTGATAAGGATCAAGAACCTTACTTCTCCAACTAGCTTTTACTTGGTTAGCGGTTATCCTGTAAGCTTAATTGGTAAACGGATCCAATGCAATGGACTTCCATTTTGTATGCTAATTACAAATCGGATTCAATGAAATGTTGATATTGAAGCTTTGAATTGTTTTGCAGGACACTTGGAAAGTGGTGCAGGCGAAGTTGCCATGACACCGATTAGTGGAAACCAAGTTTCACCAACGAGACAACCAGAGGTCTCACCTACAACGGGTGGAATAAAACCATCGGAGCCCTCACTTGAAAACATAACTTGTGCCCTTTCTTCAGGGTTCCAACTTATGCATAAACTTCGGGAAGTATCTATAATCTTGTTTATTTATATGGGTGCGGGCACGGTATGCTTTTATCTCGTCAGACACCAGATGTCTGGAGAGAAAACCAATGGAGTCCTCGATGCTTTTTATTTCACCATTGTTCTATTGACTTCAATCAAGTACGGAGACTTATGCCCTGATAGCACTCTTACACTACTACTTGCCTCTCTCTTCGCCATCATGGGTACGCTTATTATGGCACTACTCATGAGTATATGTGCACGAGTTTTAGTCAAGCAATCGGAAGTAAAGCAAAAAATTCGGTTACATAAGCATCAAATTGGTGGTAGTATTGAAGCCCGAATATCAGAGCAGAGGAAAACCAACATGAAATATATGTGTATAGCACTAGTGGTATCCCTTGTGGTCCTTATTGTCGTCGGGACAGTTGTCTTGGTTTCTCTCGAAAATTTGGATAATATCCACGCGTTCTATTGTATCCTTGCAACAATTACAAGTGTAGGTAGTGATAACTGCTTCTCAACAAAAGGTGGGCGCGTATTCGCAGTGTTTTGGATGTTATTGGGTACTTTTTATTTAGCTCTAGCTTTCCTTACTTTTGCGGAACTATACACTCAAAGGAAACAAAGATCATTTGAGAAATCAGTTCTAGAAAGAACCACAACACCTGAAGACTTCTACGCAGCTGATTTTAATAGCGACCGTGTTCTATCGTAAGTACAAGTAACTATGAAACATGTAATGTATTCGCATTCATTATATACGAGTTTTCTAGGCATGCATTAGGTACAAGACGAGAGCGGTCTAGAAAGGTTTTAGGGTTTTAATTTGACACAGGTAGTTTAGTAATTTACCAATCGCCGTCTCATGTTTCTGATTTTTGCTATAGAACAAAAAAAATACAGTTTTCCCACTCAGGTCTTATCCTATTGATAGCAATATTTTAGGCATGTCTCACATGATAATATAAAAAGGTCTCAAGGTCCACTAAGTGGATCCTACATGTCATATATAGAATTTGTTCCACAACCATTTTGTGATATAAAACTATACCTGTTTTATCTTTATCTTGATTATATCTGATTTGTTTATTACACAGGATTTCTGAATATACTCTTCATAAGCTAAGTGAGATGGGAAAGATCAGTCAAGAAGACATGGCACCTATCGTGGAGGACTTTCGAAGACTCGACGTTAATGACAAAGGTGCCTTGACGTTACGAGAAATTACGTATTAATAATCCGCATGGTATAACACAGACGTTGTACCTAAACATCTGTGTGATGTGACATAAGACACTACTATAGATGGTATTTACTGTTTTCTTGTATGTATTTGGATAAAGTTTTGTGATAATAATAAGCAAAGAGTAAATTACGTTTTTGGTCCCTGTGGTTTGTTGTAAATTGTTATTTTCGTCCCTATGGTTTATAATTTGTTGTTTTTGTCGTCTATGTGGTTTACAAAGTTGTTACTTTCATCTATCGAGCTTAACTATATTGAATTGCCTTAGGGACTAAAACAGCAAATAATTGCAAACCGTATGTTAAAGTTACAAGGACAAAATTCGTAATTCTAAACAAATCACAAGGATGAAAATCGTAATTAACCCTTCAATAATATAATTGAACAAGTTCTTACCAGATCACTTATCAAATACGACAGTTACATTTAAGGTGAGAACATCGACGAATTTAAGGGTGAGGTACGCGAGAAAAAGGACGACCGTAGATGACATGGAGTGACTATTAAGTGTTCTTTTGTCAATCATCAATACTCGATCAGAGGGTGTAAAGTATAAATAACAGTATTTTTCTCAAACTGATTTTACAGTTGCACCAAATAGTTTTACTAATTTATCTGTATAGTCTCGTATCGTTTAGACTTGGATTATTTCTCATCTATATTAGTTGTAACCTGATTTTCTCTTCTTAAAGACTCTTTTGGGGAGTAATTTAATTAGGTTCCACATATTCTTATATGGTATTAATGTCAATGTCAATGTCAACCACTCTAGGGACTCGACACTTTGGGGGCAATTTGTACTTGACAACAATTTACCCAGTAAGCGTTACTCGTGGTAAGAGTCATCGCTTTCACTTACCGCGTAAGACTCTCGGTACTTGTCTTTGCTTTTACCGGTAAGATTCATGGTACTTACCATATTCATCTAGTAAGGTAATATTACTTGATAAGCGTTTATCCAGATAAACATTTGATAAACAGCCCCAAACATTTATAAAGATGCATATAATATACCTAACATTCAAAACACACGTTGCTTTCATATTTTAACTTTAAAATAAACTATCAAAATTCCCCAACAACTTTAAGACCATGATGTATGCACTTACGATATAAAATGACGTATACACTCAGTTATATTCTTACGTTAGTTTTTCATGCTTTTAGAAAACGTAAATCGAACAAAAACGACAGTTTATTTTTCAAAATCCGAAATTAATCTGTATTATTAGTTATAAATCATAAACTCGATTTTTTAATGCACCCCAACTGTAAAAGCTTGGTTGGTTTTTACCTCGGGTTCAAAGCTAGGCCTCCCTCTAGCTTCGATCATTGAGTGACTAAAAATGTCTCCTCATATTAGTATCTTTAGAGGCAGGTTTTATGTGGGGCTGATTAAGGGGCCGTTTACCCAATTGCTTAACCGGTAAGCACCTACCGATAGGAGTCAACACTATGATTTATTTTAATGCGTAAGATTTTAGTATATTAAAACATATCGAATGCAACAATTTAGTGGGTAAGCACTTACCTGGGTAAGAGTCGTCATCCTCACTTACGGGTAAGACTCTCCATCATTTTCATCGCTCTTACCGGTAAGATTCTTGAATCTTCTCATGTTCATCCGATGAGGAAATTTATCCAGTAAGTACTAACCAAATAAGTGTTTAGTAAACGGCCCCTAACATCATATTATGGGCATTTAAAAGAACTCCCTTTTTTAACAAATGATTCATAAAAGCACTATGTATTGGTTTTGATTTTTTTTAAGTATATAATATTTATATACGGCAAATGCAACAAATAAATTCACATACCCTCCTCACATTTGGTAAGGTTTGAACCCCTGACCTTTTATAAGGTCAAAGACGACGATACAACTAGATAAAGAAGGTGATTTTGATTTTTGTTATTTGCACTCTAATAATTCTAATCCAACTACTAGTGTGGCCGATTGCAATAATTTGAAGGTAGTGCCATTAAAAGTAGGGTATTTTTGTCTACAATTTTATGCAAGTCCATCACTTATTATTAAATAATCAATTTAATCGACTTTATATTATTTAATAAATAAATAAATTTAGTTTTTAATTTTTTTTATAAAATAATTAATTAATTATTTCGTGTTATTTGTAAATAGTTAATTAGAGTTTGTTTCAAATGCAACCCATCAAATTCGTACAATCAATGCAACTTAATAAATTGAAATATTTATGGAAATGATGAGAGTTCATTTATTATGATTTAAATATTTATGGGAGATGAATACGGTTCATTAATTATGATCAATACTTTATATTATAGAAACAATCAAAACTTCTATGAAATTACATATTTATCAAATTAAATGAACGGTTAAGATTGAATTGTATTGGTTGTATAAATGTAAGGGGTTGTATAATAACCCAACTCTATTTAATTAATAGATAATTTACCTTTATAAAAAGATTCCGATTCAAAATTGTCGATGTAAATCGAGATGGTAAAAAATAGGTTATCGAATGGATCAGGTCAGTTCTAAATTAGGGATGACAACGTCTTGGTCTTGACTAAAAATCCTAGGCCTAGTAACCAATTTCGATTCCATTGGGCCGGTCATAGGTCTCTGTCTGGTAATTCGTCTCGATTCCATTGGGCTGGTTTCAGATCCAAGTTCGGTTTCTTTTAAATATTTTATCCTCGAAAATGCTATTATTTTTAAATTTTAACATAAATATACTTTGAATAATGTATTTACATGAAAATCTGCAGAAAAAAAAAACTTGTATTATAATATATAAAAACCTAAAAAAAATTGAAAATTCGGTCAATATATATAACCGGGTTGGGGCAGGCATTAAAATTCGATAAATTTGTAAAAGAGTCGGGCCATAACCGGTCCCAATTAATAAGGGCCAAGTTGGGCCCAATTTGACCATGTTATCATATTATGATGTTATATAGAGATGGCCAAAAACTGTGTCGGCCCATCGGTCTAGGTCCCAATCCCAGTCCCATCCACCATTCCGGTAACCGATCTCGGTTCCAACCAAAGACCCAAGACCCGATTAAGGTTATTCATAATCGTTTATGAGAACCAGACTCAAACCAATCCCAATTGTTTTTCTTTCAAAAACTCAATTTTGAAAGGTAAAAATACAGCGTTTAAAGAAGTAATCTAAAAAAAAGACTTGTGGATAACCAGCCCCCGGCTGGGCAGTGAAAATTCCTAAAAATCGTAACCGGTTAAAGACTGTCGGGCAGGTCGCGGTCACAATCCGGGCTGGTCCGAAAGTCGGTCCCACGACAGGCCAGTCCTGGTCTCAATCCTCTTTCGGTCTTGAGTCGGGCCCATTTGGCCATTTTTAATGTTATATATAATCGGCCTTAGAGATGGCCAAATCGGCCCGGCCCGACCCGGGACAGCCGGAGGACCAGGACCGGGACCGGTAAGGACCGGTTATGGGACCGGTTGAGGTTTTTGGTAGTTTCGTGGGACCGGGACTGGTTATGGGACCGACTATGGACCGGCCCGGCCCGGTTTGGCTTGAAAATTCAAATAATTTTATAAATAAATGTATTTTTAAATAATTTTATAATGTATTTTTATAAGAAAACGTAATTTTAATTATATTAAAACGCATTTTTAAAGTGTATTTAAGTGACTCAATTGTAAATTTTATAATGTATTAAAAATATATATCATTAAAAAAATCAAAAAAATCTTTTTTTTTTAATGCAAGGACCGGTTGGGACCGGGACCGATGGTCCATAACCGGTTATGAAGTACCTTGACCGGTCCTATCATTTTCAGTTGGGACCGGGACCAAGACCGGGACCAGTTATGGCCGGTTATGAGAAAGATGAGGACCGATTGGGACCGGCCTGACCGGTTTTTGGCCATCTCTAATCGGGCTTAAAGCTTTGATGGGCCTAATTTATTGGGTTGGGCTTAGTCTTGTTTGTTTAAATGATTACACCGTCCGGTGATAGCCGGTTGGCGGTTGCACAACCACGCCGTACCGCCTACTGAACTGCAGCTCCGACCACCGCGAGATGGCGCCATCGCCAAAGCCAATTGCAGTTATAGCAGCCGTCTCTGTGGCCCTGTGTTCTCTCTACGTTTTAACCATCAGACGTCGAGCCGCGACTCATTCGAAAGGCAAAACCCTAACAGATAACAAACCGAAGAGAACTGGAATAGTTGGTGCCATTGGCAACACACCTCTCATTCGAATTAATAGCCTCTCCGATGCGACTGGCTGTGAAGTAACTGATTATCTCCCCCTTTCTTCATTTATAGATACAGAGATTTGTGTTTTGATTTTTCTCGATTGTAATTTTGAACTGTTTGATTCTTTTTTCATCAGATTCTTGGGAAATCGGAGTTTTTGAATCCTGGAGGAAGTGTTAAAGACAGAGTCGCCGTTAAAATTATTGAAGAGGTTGATTACTTGATTTGGTCTTCTTTATCAATTCTAGGGTTCTAAACTTCTAATAGGTGCTAATATGAGGATTATACCTTTTTCATTAATGAAGGAAATCTAATAACTCATATTTCGTTTACTGTAAACGAGTTGATGATAGGCTGGCTCTCATCTGGTTCTTGAAGTTAATCAGATCACCTTAATGCTGCTGCTTGGGATTACCTTTTTTTTTGTTAACCAGTTTCTTTGATGACGTAGATACCAGTTTATGAAATCTTTACAAATATGGCAACATGTTACCGGTCAAAATGGGTGAAAATAGGAAATTTTTGCACTTTGTTACAATAAAAATAGGGAATTTTGAAAATTGAGTGGGAGAAAAATAATTGTTCCAAACCACAAGGGTGGTGCCTGATTGGTTTGAACTTGGCTCCAAAGGTAAGGTCAAAAGTACCTAGAGGTCCCAGGATCAAATCTAAGGAGGAATAAAAATCCCCTTGTGGCCACGGAGGTTCAAATGCGGTGACTCCAGCTATCTGCAAAGCAGGTGGTCATCCTGGGATTAGTCGGCTCGCATAGCGGGTTGGATATCCAGGTTAATAAAAAAAAAATTTGTTCCACTAAATAGGAACCAAGGCAAGTTTCGTTACATTTTGATGTATTTTGCTCTAAATGATATTATGAGATTGAGACCTTTATGCTGATGGATATTCGTCGTTCTTAACAGTAGTTTTGTTTTTAACTTTGAAACATTTATAGGCCTTGGAATCTGGACAACTATCTCGAGGTGGTGTAGTTACAGAGGGAAGTGCCGGGAGCACAGCAATTAGTCTTGCAACAGTTGCTCCTGCTTATGGATGCAAATGCCATGTGGTTATCCCAGATGATGCTGCAATTGAGAAGGTAACACTGATTTCAGTTTCTGAACTAGAAACTTGTTATATGTTACTACAGGCAAACTGATCAAATTGGAAGTGCTTTTAATTTTTCTCTGCTGTTATATTTGTGTGTTGTCTTTTTCTTATTCGTTTTCAAATTTTAGCACCGCCTTTCTTATTTTCAAGTTGTTCATATTTTTCTATTTCAATTTTTTTGAGCAAGTTGTATCATTTCTTTTCACGCACTTTGCACAAGCCAAGGGTCTTCAAGGAAACAGGAACTCTACTCATTGGGTAGAGGTCAGGTTTGCCTACATTCCACCCTCCCCGGACCCCTCTTCCTGGTAGGACATATTGGGTTTGTTTTGATTTATTTTGTTTGGTTTTGTTAAAAGAAAATCAAATCACTTTCCTTTTTACGATATGCGTGCACAAAATACTTTTGGACTTTATCATATTTTGGTTAGGATAACCCAAATCAGTTCTATTACCATAGATGGCAATTTGAGTTCTCTGAGCCCTTTCACATGTAATCCTTTTGAATTCTCAACTTTGCAAGTATTTGCTACTTGTTAAGAACGCTCAAGCATTGTTGCAATAATGTACCACTAAGATTGTAAAATATGATGGCATGGATATCCGTTTATGCGTTGTTTATGAAAGTGTTAACAGCAAAATGTACGATAAGTTTGATATCCACGTCATCAAATTTCACAAGATCAGCAGGTTACCTGTCAAAATGGGTACAAAATAGGAAATTTTGTAACATTTTACATTAAATAGGAAATTCTGAAGCTTTGTTACATCAATGGAGAAAAAGTTTATTCGTTTTACTGGATAGGAACTAAACCAAATTTTGTTGCATTTTTCCCTAATTTTATCCATCTAGGTTTTCTGAACGAGCCCCTCTGCATGGTTGTTTGCATTCTTTACTCATCCTCATTCCGTTGAACATTTCAGTCTCAAATACTAGAGGCTCTTGGAGCAACAGTGGAAAGGGTTAGGCCGGTGTCGATAACTCACAAAGATCACTTTGTCAATATTGCAAGGAGAAGGGCAACCGAAGCAAATAAGCTAGCACTGAAGCATATAAATCAAATGGATGCCAAAGATGTAGACCATGCCAATGGAAAAGAAACACAATGTACAGTGTTCTCTGGTGAGCATAAAGGTGGCTTCTTTGCAGATCAATTTGAGAACCTAGCAAACTACAGAGCTCACTACGAAGGAACTGGACCTGAGATCTGGGAGCAGACTGGTGGTCAATTGCATGCTTTCATCGCAGCTGCAGGCACAGGCGGCACTGTGGCTGGTGTTTCTTGTTTTCTAAAGGTTAGCTTCCCATCCTTGTCGAGGGGGTTGCCCATGCCCCCACTTTATCGTTACGTATCGATGGGAAAAAACAATTAGAGGTCTTAACGGTTTGGTGCGTGGGACAAGACAGGACAAAAACTTGTTGTCTCACGGTTGGTGCGACATTGAGACTGGGACAGATTGGGGCTGAATAGGGGGTGGAACAAAAATCAGGCAAATGGAACAAGATTGTTAAACTACTAAACTACCCTTGTCAAATTAAAACCTAAATCCTTGCACGCTTCTTTCACTCGCCTACCTCACTCTCGCTCATCGACTCTTGTCCTGTCGCATCTGCGGTGCGTTTGGAACACAGGACAAAAGAGAACAGGGATCACTGTTCCATGTTTTGCAGGACGTTTTTGCATAACAAAGTGGAACAGACGTGTTCCACCCGCTCTCTGGAACAATGTGGAACAAACCTATATTTTACCAATATACCCTCTAAATAAAAGTTAATTCTCTTCTAAAACATCAAATACGCCTTCCTCTTTACATTTTATCCTTCCTTTAAACTTTATTTATTGTATTTTTTGCCATTTAAACTTTCACTTTAGTGTTCCAAAAATATTATTTCTATGCGGTTCCTATATTTTGGTTAATTTATGTAATTTATCAAATATTAGTAATAAATAAATAATATATAAAAGGTATGAAATAAAAATCGGAACCTACATGAACTGTTTATTTTGGTGTCATTTGAACTTCTTGACGAAAACTTTCTAATGATATATTTTGTTATAAAAATAATTATTTTATTGTAATTTAATATTACATAATTTAATCAAAATATATAAAAGACATAAAAAAAACTCATTTGGGGTAAATTGGTTATGTACCTGTTCTGTCCGGTTCTCTCTTATCAAACATTGAACAGTTGTTCTGTCTTGTTCTATTTTGTCCTGTCATGCCTGGATACCAAACGCACCCTAAAGATTCACCAACTTATATTTGATTTGTGCTCCCTTAAGCTAACAAAAAGTAGTTGCAATCCGGTGGTAGTTTCATTGTGCATGGCATTACAGGTTGCAAGTTTGAACCCCTTTGGCTCTTTTTTAGTTTTTATGGTAACGGCAACAGTAAAGAAGGAAAAACCCCACTTGGGTATAGCAAAAAAAGCACTTGTATACCATTTTTAATTAACCGTACTTTCTATAATTAATATTTGTTTTATTTTCTATTATGTTAATTATTTTGTGCCCCTGCTTGGAAAAGAAATTGGGCTTAATGTGATTTTTGTGGTCTTGTAAAGGAAAAAGATCCAGGGATAAAGTGTTTTCTTGTGGATCCTCCTGGTTCGGGTTTGTTCAACAAAGTTACAAGGGGAGTGATGTACACAAGAGAAGAGGCTGAAGGGAAGAGGTTGAAGAACCCATTTGATACTGTCACCGAAGGAATAGGGATCAATAGATTGACGGAAAACTTCAAAATGGCTCAACTTGATGGAGCTTTCCGTGGCACTGATATCGAAGCTGTGGAAATGTCTAGGTATGATTCATTCATATCTCCTAAAAGATAGATGATTATTTATACCAAAGCATCATTGGCCCAGTGGTACCCGGGTTACCGGTAGATCCCAACCTCCTAGGAGGTTAAGGGGTCAAACATCACCAAAAGCGAGGAGTGCGCGTGAGTATTTGCCGTATATAATTATTATGTCATGTAGCATTTATGCTTCATTTCTGCATCATTTTGTAGCATCTTGCCTCTTTTTACAAGTGAAAAAAGCCAAAGGTTTGGCTCATTTTCAACTAAACAGTCATAATTGAAAGACCAATGGTTTTAGCTAGGTAGGAATAGGATCTTTGCGCTTTCTTGTAAGCCCGTCTTCAAAAAACCCCCAAATATGTGACTTTTAGTTATGCTTTGCTTACCCCTTTCGTAATTCGGGATCTTTTTAGAAACGGTCTTTGAAAATTTGGCCTTATAGGACGTCAAATATATCTAAATTTCATAATATATGCTTCATAGGACTTGCGTTTGTATAGGACCAAACAATTGTGCGTTCTGTGTAAAGGTGTTATAATAACTTGATAGGACATTGGCATTCTAAGAGGTCTTTTAGGACACTTTTGAAACGAGATGTCCTATTAACCTTTTTAGGACATCTTTGACAAGTGTTCTATGAACACGTTCTTTTATAGGACATTGGTTTTTATAGCACATTTGTTCAAATAATGTCTTATAAAAAGACTAATAGAACGCTTTCCTTAAAGAAGTCCTAAAAAACTGTTAGGGTACCCAGAAGGCCAAAACCGTCATATCAACTTATTTCAACACATTTACATAGGACGAACAATTGTCTGGTCTGGTAAATGTAAATCCTTTAAAACAATCTATTAGGTCATTTATACATATATGGCGTCCTATGAAACCAATATTGTTGTAGTGGACAAAAGAAATAAGGTGTGCTTCCGTTTTACCCCGGCCCTAAGGATATACAGGGTTTGTTTGGTTTGAATCTAATGTTTCTACCGTTTGTCAGATTCCTTCTAAAGAACGATGGCCTGTTTGTTGGAAGTTCTTCGGCAATGAACTGTGTTGGAGCTGTGAGAGTAGCGAAATTGTTGGGCCCCGGTCATACAATTGTAACAATTTTGTGCGATAGTGGGATGAGGCATCTAAGCAAGTTTTGTAACCCGGAGTACCTCGCTCAACATGGCTTAACACCGACAGCAAAAGCATTAGAATTCCTTGATCGTAAATGAGATATCATTCCATATGCAACGGACCATTTTGTTCGATTTCAGTAAATGCAGGGATTTATTTGTTCAAAAAAGATGTCCAGAGACTTCATCGCTTAAAATATGGAAATCCGTTGGGTTCTTACAGATTTTCCCGAAATAATTTTATATGCGGCAGCATCGAGTTTTGGACGCTTGCAGTTACGAATGCACACTCGGACTCCGTATGCGCCTTATATGATTCGGTAGGCTGCACACCAGCTAAGGACCAGACCGTGAAAAGAACCAGAGCCGGTTGGACCTGGCTGGGACCATTTAGGACCAGGCAGACCCTCTTTTTCCCAGCCGAGGGCTCGGTCCAGACTCCGGGCTATGTATGCGAAAATAGCTTATGTTTCTTAAAACTACACTTTGAGAAATTGTATTCTAGTTCTGGGATGTTGTAAGTTGTATACCTTTTATGTTTCTAAATTATCTTCTAAGAGAATATATTAACGTTTTATTTATAAATGTCGCTTATAATGATGTAAGATGTGATGTCGAGGTCCATGATGTGTTCTGGTTAAGGTTCTAAATGACGTAAGATGTGATGTCGAGGTCAAGTCTCAAGCCTTAGAAGTGATGTTGTTTTTTAAGGCGTGGTTTATTACAGCAAATTTTTATATCATATAAATTATTATACATATAAACATTATATTTTCTACGATTACTCAACGAATCAGTGATGTTAAATAACTTAAATTAGGTTATGCATTAGAAACTAACAGATAAAACACTAAAAAAAGTAAGAAAAATCAAATATTGCTTTAGAAAATCTTGCATTAGGTCATGGCGTGGAACACAAGCCTTAAGGCACAGCACCACGGCGGTTGTTGCGGAGAGTTTTTCTGAACACTGGTTCTGGTATGTGGACAGGGTTAGATAGACGAAAATTAAGTAGGCAGGTAAAAGAATTTTGGAGTTCTAATCCCAAAAAAAAATGCATTTTTGTTTCACTCGATCTTATCCAATCCCAGTTTAATTGTACTACACACATCCTTACACCGGGAGACTATTTACTTACAGCTTAATAATGGTATGGGGAGGCTTATTCGCTCAACGTACAAGAGTGTTTCTATACAGCTTAATCATCAAGTCATTAAGCCAAAATGGCTACATGGAGTAAGCTAGCACCCTCACTTGTCCCTATTGAACCACTTCAAACAAATTAATACCAAAAATGCCCTAGAAAATAATCCTACCCTCTCTCTTTACCTCCCTCAAATCTATCAGTTTGTCGTCCCGAACAAATTTTTCTACACATACAACTTAATCCATACAGGAATTAATAAACAATAAACAACCTCGAAATCATGTTTCAAAGTTCAAACCATTCAGAACTAGATATATGCCGATTATTCTTTGATTCAACCCTAACCCCCGAGACCTAACCAGTCGATCATCCCACTACCACCCGATAAAAGTAATCTTGATCTTAAGCAAACACCATATCAAAACCAAATCAAACAAACTCAGTATACTGCATTCGAAGATAAAGTTTGAGGGGTAATAAATATAGAGGCTTTACCTGTGTCTCTTGTTCCTAAAACAATCAAATTTTCATAATCTTGATTTCAAGCAAGCACCAAGGCGGCAATCTTGATCACATTATTGAGACTCGAAAGCATTTAACAAATGACAACCCAAACTAGACGTTGCAAAGCAACAAGTTCTGCTAAAAGAAGCTTCAAAAACCGGATGATGGGTCGGTATACATATCATGTAATTTGTGACCGCAAGTTAAACTGTATCTCGAATCCCCTTGATGGAGGGTAGTATAAAAAACCGTCTTTCGGGAAACTTTGATCTAATAACTCATTCAAAAACGCTCACAACATTTACCTACCATGAAGGGTATCATCGCCTTTCAAATTGAGCCTCGTGACAATGTGGGTCTAACCAATCTCTAGCAGAACTCCGGGATGCGTTAACCGACATCTTGCCGCCACCCACAAGATCTCGTAAATTTTCCAGCTTGTTTTCTCGCCCAGATCCACTAATTCTCTGATCCGCGTCCTTCAATTTCTGCTTGAATCTCTGTTTGCGGCCGGAAGAGTTTACGTCCTGTCTTGTTTGTGAAGGAGGGGCTCCGTGAGGTCCAAGATATATGTGTTCTTCCTTCTCGGCCTGCAGGAAAGCAAAGAAATTGATAACGTAAAATAGAGACAGATTCATTGACGCTTTAGAAATGGTTTAGCATGGGAAGTTGTTTACTCACTTTAATTGTGTGCTTTGAGTCGTCTATTTGTGGAGCATTCGTTATGGTTTGAGTTGGGTCTTCGATTCCCAAGCTCGGGATTACAAAGCCATCGGTGTCTAGTACAAATAGCCAAACAAGCATTGGTTAAAAGAACGAAAACTATAAAAGGAAAAGGATTAAACGGAAAATAAAACGCGTTCGGATCTGTTTCTTGTTTGCATGCACTTCGCTGCTACCCACGGCACTTGTTTACTGTTTCTTTTTGCAAGTTGGGGGTCTCGGAAACAACCTATCTACCTCTTGGGTGTAGAGGTAAGGTACGTATACATCCTACCCTCCCCATACATATGATAATGGATTCGTTTGGTTTGGTTTGTAAGAAGAGACATATATGTGATTGTAGGCTCGTTTTGCTTGATTTAGAATTATGATGGGTGGTGTTGGTATGGGGACTAGACCATACTCAGATACTCTTCGGGTTGGACCCTGCCCTAAGTCATGTATGGATAAAGTTGTATAGATTTGGAAAGTTTTTGTTTGGGAGAGGTTTTTCATAGATGGAATGAGTGTGTTTTTTAATTGGGAGGGGCGGGTTTGAAAAAACTTGGCTTTCTGCATAAAGCTCCTCCCTAGAAGCTTACTGGAAAAGCCACTATAATTAAGCCACTACCAAACAGTCATGTATGGCTGACCAAATAAGTTGTGAGCTCCATTAAGCTCATTAAGCTGCTAACAAACATGCCCCAAGTGATTTAGTTCTTAACCAAAGGATGTCCAATTTGCCTTGACCATCCATTCTTCGAGTTCGAGGTATCCCTTAAGACCAAAACCTAAGGCTTATTGATGCAGGTACCTTACTCCTCTTTGTACACACCCATATCCCCCTTGGATTCCATTGCTTGCAGGTCTTGGGAGTACTATTAGAAGGTCAACTTGCATGCACCTCGACTAATCTAATGCCCCCTTAAGATAACAGTTTAGAAAATCCACAATGAACCTAAAGATATTCAAACAAGCGACCTATGGGGATGAGTCCCAATCCCAAGGGCACAGAAGACAACAACAAGGATGATAGTTGACATCAACATGTGCCGGTAATGAATCCAATATCTAAAACTAGAGAAGATGGATTATTTGTAATAATTTGCTGGAAATCCAATTAGGGCATGAATTTCCCACTTCAAATTTGTGATGAGAATAACATCTACAATCCAGAAGGCATATTACAACTTACAACAACAAAAGGTCTACAAGAATTACATAAAAGATCACATCACAAGGCACAGCACGTGTAAACATAGTTTCAGTAGTATGCTAGTTACTATCAATTAGCACTGGTGAGATCAGATTATTCGCAGATGCATTCACCAACCCTAGCAAAAGGAAATCGTTTACTCAGGGGCACAAAAAAGCCTTCATTTGATCTACTTGTAATGACTACAATGGTGAAACAATAAACAAGTTACCCAAATGAAAACTGATAGTCTCTTCTTGTGTGGAACCTAATGAAATCAACTCTTGGAATTAATAAACAATGATCAAGTAGTTAACAAGTTACAGAAATGGGAAATGTTTACAATTTTCAATAGAAAGTAAGTTGTTGCAGTTTCAGTGACCAGATAAGTGATCGCTGCTTGATCATGGATTGAAATTGGCAAGTCGAATCGAGTTTCAATAAATTACATGATGATCTTCAACCATATGGATAGTTACATAAATCACAAAACCAAGCAATCTCACAATAGCATATAGTTCAACATGGATCCTTTTGTGAACAGCAAGAATTGCGTACTAGAATAACAAGCCCTAGAACAAGAACATGATACATTTTAGGGGGGGGGGGGGGAATAGCATAATCAAGCGAAACGATACATGTGGCTTACCCCACTCATCTTCGTCGATTGTTGGAGCATTTTGCACAGAAGGGTCCATGGGACACGAAATGATCATGGATTTTGAATTACCAAAGAGGTGCGAATAAAGCTCCGATGATTTGAAATCCCTACAAAGACAAATGGAATCAAAGAATTTGATGGATTGGGGAATTTGATTCCAAGTGTGAATGACTTTCTATATGGAATTGATCCGATGACGAATATGAAAGGAACGAGCATGAAGAGATAAACCCTAGAAAACTCTCGCGCATTCGTACCCAACCACGAACGTGGCGACTGGGGAGAGGTACCACACCACACCTATAGTCGTAGGTCTCATTGTTTTGGCATTGGTTTAATAATGTTTATTCAGATACTAACCGATAAAATTCAAAATTATCACCAACCAGATAAAATTTTAGTCTGTCAAAACAGTATCATATGTAATAATTTACCCAATAAGTACTAACCATGTTAATAGTTGTCGTTACTTATTACGTAGAACTCTTTGTTTTTGTCTTCGCTCTTTTCGGATAAGATTTTTGGTTTTTGCCTTATTCATCCGGTAAAATAATATGACTTGACAAGTGCTTACCTAGATAAGTGTTTGGTCAACGACCTCATAGTAAATTTTTAAGAAAGTTTTATATAGAAAGTTAAGTTTTTTTTTTTAATTTAGTTCTGATTAAAAAATATGATTATTTCAACATTCCAAATAAAACATGTTCAATCTATACATACAGATTAATCCATATTAATAACTTTATCCATACATAATGAAAATCAACCAAACATTCTCATAATTTATTAGGGTGATGTAGTTTTGGAATTAAAATGAAAAGAACGTAATCAGATAAAATACCCTTTAACGTTTCTTTTTGCTTCATGTGGTGGTTGACGATGGTTAATGGTGGTTGGCGGTGGTGGGTTGTGTGAGAATTGGTGGTGTTGGTGGTAGGATAAAAAGACTAAAATGGTAAGGTTTTTTTTCTAGCAGAATTGAAATCCTCTTGTGCATCGAACGAAGGAAGGATTTTTTTATTACCGAGATTTCAAATCTATTTGATACACTCCATTCAACCCCGTTAAGAGGACCAAGTGATGGAATTGAGCGAACCAAACGGCCCTTGAGCTGCGCTAAGATTAAGGGTGTGCAAAACTCGAATGTTTCGAAATCCGAACCCGAACAAAAAATAAGATGTTTATGCAATGTCCGGATGTCCAGAGATCCGAGAACACAAAAAACTTAAAACGACCTTTTAGGGGAATTTTTTGGTTCGGGTTGGGTTTGAATTTTAACCATCCGATCAGTTCGAAAACTCGAAATATATATACACATATATATTTTAAGTACTATATAAATATATTCATTAATCTAATTATGTTTGAAAATTCTAAAATATCCTAGTTGGTTGTGCTCTTTTCTAATTTCTAAGCATACTATCAGTTTATCAATCTTTTTAAATAGATGGAATTTATCCTCAAAATCGACTGAATATATATATATATATATATATATATATATATATATATTTGTATTATAACTAAACTTAGCCGACCTCAATCCAAAACCCGACCAAACCGAAACCCAAAAATCGAGACTTACTTTACATATCCAAAATCCGACCGTTTTTATTTGCCCACTCGATACCCATAGTTAAGATTGTCCGTTAAGTGTAAGACATTTATGTCTTTTTATCTTCCTTGCCTTGTTCGTTTTATCTTTTTTCAAGTCAAATGACCAAAATTTTATTTTTATTCCCTGTATATATAATAATCACACACACAATATATATATATATATATATATATATTGTGTGTGTATATAAATTGTGGTGTTTTTGATGATAAAGGCGTATACGTATTCAATCAATGAAGTAGTATTGTCTTCAAATTTTTAACGACTATTACCGAATCTGAACGTTTTTTTTTATAAGTCACGCTAACATCCATCTTGTAACGTTAAAACTAAATGAACAAAAAGTTTTATCTTTGACGAACCACAGGGACCAATTTGTAGCCTACTCAAAAAATAAAAAATGGTAAACTCTAACAAGAAAAACTATAATTTTAAAAGGATAAGAAGCTGTTTGTCAGTTGCTGAATGGTTTGATGTAGAATGATTAAGGGGCTGTTTGACGGTTGCTGAATGATTTGGTACAGAATTGTTAAGTGGTCAGAATGGTTAAGAAGGCCAGAATGGTTAAGTGCTGAATGAAATAATGTTGTTTGGTAACTGTTATCTGAATGACAATAAATTACCATTTTAACCCTGACAAGGGCAAAACCTCAAAATCAGTAAAACAGTAAAAAGGCAAATCAAGCAAACTACAAACTGAAAACCAACACTAAAATTAGGGCAAATCTAGCAAACTACAAACTACTTTGAAGGCTTCGAAGTTGAAGGCACAAAATCATTAGGGTTTGTATCTGAATCACAAAATCGATGACCTGAGCAGAGGCGGAGAGAGCGAGGAACGAGGATATCGCGTGGGAGGAGAGAATGGCGGGAAGCAGTAGGGGCGGCGACGATCGTGGGGGGGGGGGAGACGGCCGGCGAATGGAAGACTGACGATGGGAGGGGGAAGACGGCGACCATGGAACCGACGAAGGAGGGGGGGAAGACKGCGACCATGGAGGGGGATGCGATGTGAAGAACGAACATGGAGGGGGATGCGACCATGGAGGGGGATGCGACGAAGGAAGGGGGGAAGACGGGTTGAGAGGGTAAAGTTGGAAAAACCAACATCTGAATGGTTGAGTGGAGCTCTAGGTGCAAAATGGTTAAGAGAATATTGTAACCATTAAGAGGTTGTTATTTTTTTGCCAAACAGCTTCTGTCTCTTAGCGATTAAGAGGCTCCCTCTTAATGTCACCATTAAGAGGGAAACAAACAGCCCTTAATTGGTCAGAATGATTAAGATGCTTTCATGATATAGTACAAAATAAAATATAATTGTTCGGTAATTGTTTACAATAGAATTATGATGTTGAATGGTTAATGAAGACTCATGATACAAAATCATTTAAAATGTTTTAAAACCATTAAGAGACAGATTTTTTTTACCAAACTAAATTCGCCTCTTACCGATTCAGAGTCTGTTAGAAATAAAAATAACCATTTTCAACAAATTGAATGGTCGAAAAACGTACATTATAAAAACCTAAATAGATTATACAACACCACTTAAAAGATCCGCCGTTAATTCCGAAGAGACGGTGGGAATCAAATCTCAGCCGTCCATGAAGCACCTGGATATCCCGCCCAGTGCTGTGCATGACATGGCAAATTAAATGCATTTAAAATCCGTATTTGAAGTCCGAAACACTCGCGCTGCTATCACACTCTCAACGCTCCGACTTGTCTCAAACCGGATTTCGCCCCTTTTCTCATATCGAACATTCAATTCAACTCAAATCAGCTCTTCAACCTTCGATTCACCCCTAATCTATGTAAGTTTTTCAATGTTCTTACTCGTTTTTTATTCATTCAAGTTATCGATTACATGATCTGTTACTATTTTGCTTCATTATTTTTTACGTAGAAGTTGAATTATTTTGTTTAGGGTTTGCTATGGTTATCGAGAATTCCGAAGTTTTTTTGTTTGATTGATTGAATTGCTCACTATTTTCTTGCTGAATTATTTTTTTGTGTTTTGATTGTTTTTGTTTTTAGTTGGTGAGTGTATGTATGTACGTTTAAGTAGATCTTGCCATGATTTGCTGAAATTTGAAGCTGTGTAAAATAAACCAGTTTGTTTTTTTTCGTTGTTCTGATGTGTTATTACTTTATTTGTGAGTGCATTTTTGTGTGTTAATGAATTCATTGGGTTGTGTTGGTGAGAAAGCTGAAAAGCCAAGTGATATGCAATTTGTATACGTGTGGGTTTTGTTGGTAATTGCTTAAAGATGTTATCTTTAAGGGTGTCAGGTTTACTTATTTATGGTTGAATGTTGATGGAAAGTTGGTTGGTTTTAACTTGATATATCCAGTTATGGGTGAGGAAGAGGCAATCACTGAGGTTGGTGAGGCAGTGGCTAATGGGACTGTGTCACCAACTAAACCAGACAATGATGTAAGCGAGAAGAAAAATGGGCAAAAGGAGGGGGTTGAAGAGATTGGTGAGGACACAAAAGATGATAAGAAGGTTAAAAATACAGAAGTCAATGTTGACAAGGATGATGCTGAATTAAGTAAAGATGTCAAAGAAGGAGGAAAAAAGAAAGAGCTAAAGGATAGCAAGGAAGCAGGCGAGGGTAAAAGAAAGGACGAAGGGAAAGGCAAAACAAAGGAAGAAGGGGAGGGTAAAAGAAAGGACGAAGGGAAAGGCAAAACAAAGGAAGACGGGGAGGATAAACAAAAAGAAGGGGAGGGTAAAAGAAAGGACGAAGGGAAAGGCAAAACAAAGGAAGAAGGGGAGGGTAAACAAAAAGAAGGGGAGGGTAAAAGAAAGGACGAAGGGAAAGGCAAAACAAAGGAAGAMGGGGAGGRTAAACAAAAAGAAGRGGMKRKGGAAGTCGATGAAGAGGAAATTGCAAATAAGCAAAGTGAGAATAAAATTGCGGAAGTCGCTGATTTAAAAGACGAAGAAGACAAGATGGAAGAGATCAAACAGGAAAAACGTGCAACAAAGAAGAGTGGTGGAGAAAAAGGCAACAAGAAGAAGGTAGTGGAAGAGAAAAAAGGGAAAGAGCAAAAGGTGGAACCAAAGACTCCTGTTGGTCCTGCAATTGATCGACCAGTACGGGAGCGTAAATCTGTAGAAAGGTTGGTTGCTGTCATCGACAAAGATACTGCCAGGGAATTTCATATTGAAAAGGTGTTGCTAATTTGTTTTATTTTTAAGACCTTGTTTGTCATCCACGTCTTGAATAGATTGACTAATTTACAGTTTGTTGTTATAATGGCATGCAGGGCCGTGGTACTGCATTAAAAGACATCCCAAACGGTAAGTTCTGAAAATTTTCTTGTATATTATTATTGACGATGTTGCTCATTTATTTCTGCTTTAGGCTTCCGTTAGTCTGCTTGCAACATGTTTAAGTAATATGATATGCGATACACTTCTTTATATTTTACCTTATTGTATTTTATTATGGTAGATTTGTCAACCTGTAGATAAGATGGAGTTTTTCACAATCATGGATATTCTTTGCATTATATTTGATTCTGGCTTACTGACATTATTCTTGTTATTATTGGTTAAATTCAACTCTTACATCATACTTTTTATTAATGGTTCCTTGACACTGTATTTGCTTCAGTTAATGTTATTTATGATGGTTGTCCCATCATGTCGAGTTTAGAAGATAATGCTGTGATTCTTTACCTGCTATGTCCTTGTAATCAATACTATTATGCTTTCCACTGCCTACTGTGCGGCCACAAAGTTTCAGAAAGAGCTACCCCAAATTTGTCCTATCTCTACATGTTGCAAATTGGCATAATAGATTCACATTGCAATTAGTGATAAGAACATTTTGTCTTGCTATTATTGACTTTTGAGACCAAAGGCAGCGATGTCTCGAAATGCTGATGCTTTTAGTGGCCACACCTTATCTGTTACCTTAATCAGGTTCAATTATAGCTTCATTGGTAGATAGGGAAGATGATATTTCTAACTTGGCTTATCACCTAAATACTCATTATACCTTATAAGCTTATGTTTGAAATAAAGATTAGCAGTGGTTATATGACATGCATGAAATTTGAAGTAGTTATTATGGATAAATGATTGATCGAGGTTAATTATCTTCTTGTTTTGCCACTTCTGTTTGAGTTAAACCTAGCCCTAAAAATGCACGTGGCAACTATGCTCGTAATGCATGTACATAGGCATGTGTGGATATATGAAGGGACAAGGGTGGCGTCATGGACCCCCCTTGATTTTTTTATATTAACACATCATATGACATTTATATGGAAAGTAGACCTTCCTTACTTGGGAAACTATCAATGCCAATTTTTTTTTGTAATTTTAAAGCTTCCTTAGCATGCTCCATAAAAGAAATGTGCATTGTTCACACGATAAACTACAAAATTGACGATATATTCAATACAAAAATGATAGGCCACACATTCCATAATTGTAAATTTTACTAATGTATTTAAAATTTCCACCCTGGTCATTAGACTCTTGAAATCTGTTCATTGTGGTAGTACTTTGTTAGATGTCGCAACTTTGAAGGATGGGTGAAACCAATTTTAGCAACTCTAGCTAAGATGCTTAATGTTCCGGGTTCTTCTCGGTAAGCAGGCATGGCATGTGTGATTGCAGCTTAGCATTGTACTATTACAAAAGATTTGCTAATTTGAGGTTGAATCAGAGTTCTAGTATGGGCTTTGTTTGTCTTCAGAACATTTTGCCACTAGAATGGTTCTTCATCTGGAAAATATACAGTTTAATATTCATTTCGTGAATTTTCAAAGCAGTTCTTCCCATTAAGATATATGGTAGACTGTTCAGATCTTTTTATTCCAACTCCAAGAGACAAGAGTTATAGCTATTAAGTTGTTAAACCTTGGGAAAGCAAGACTTTGTTTTTGAGTAAAGTTCCTTCTGCGATCGTTTTAGGGTCCTTTTTTGTTCTGATGCTATGAGAAAGATAAAAGCGTACTTGCAATTATAATAGTTCATAATGCTTTTAGAGTTTTTTTTTGTTTTTGTTATTTTGTAGTTGGTTGGAAGTTTGTTTTTTCATTTAGGAAGTTGAGGGGGTTGGGTGGACTTTGTTACAGATGTATGTCTATCACTTCCTAACACTATGATATCTTTGATGGCTGTACTTTGCATCTGATAAAGTTATGCATGTAATAAATTTCCTTGCGTCAATAATTATCTCTGCGAGGTGCATTATTTCTGTCTGTGGATAAACCATGTTCTATTTTTCAGTTGCTTACAAGTTATCAAAGAAAAAGATGGCTGACGACACACTTAAACTGCTACATACCATCTTATTTGGAAGGAGAGGAAAGGTAAGTGATCTTTAACTCATGAATGTATGGATATCTGTGTTCTGGAATAATCTTTTGATAACAAATGCACTTTTTTTACAAAGTTCATCTTAATAGTCATATTGTCAAAGGGGAGGACTATTATGTTTATAACATATTGCTGTTTCTACATTGGCTGACCTGGTGAGAATCAGGCAATGACTAATGATGTGTCATACCTATTTGCTATTCATTTGAGTCCATCTATAAGGGCTTTGGATCCGTATAGGCAGCATCTTTCATCAAAATTTCATTCTGTTATGTGCATCCTTAATGTTTGTTACCTTTATCTTAATGCGCATCCTTGTGCTTAAAATTATTGTTGTTTCTACACTGGCTGACCTGGCAAGGAATCAGGCAAATGACTGATGATGTATAATACCTATTTGCTTTAAGGACTTTGGATCTGTGTAGGCAGCATCTTTCAACTAAATTTGATCTCTTCTCCTATGCACATCCTTAATGTCTGTTACCTTCGAATTTTCTGGGTGCTTTGTCAAACTGTACTAATTTTTGTTATGTTTCCATTTAGATACTGATTATACCAGAAATGACTGGATATGTGTCATAAAATTTACACTTACTGCAGTCAGCTACTTATGTTATCGACTTCTATCAAGCACTTCATGCATGTTCGTGATAGAACATGCTTATAATTGTTGAATAAATGCATGACTACTAATATAAACTACTGATGTTAATTTTATACCAATAAACAACACATGACTTGCAACCTTCAGGAAACTGATACTTGCTGTGGTTTTTAGTCTATTTTATTTAGCTTTTTTCATGTTTCTCTTGTCGAATATTCTAGGGCTCCACCACAGAAGTCTTGTAACACTAGAACAAACTGAGAAAGCTACTGGAACTCAATCATAACCACCATCATTACCTTCCTATCATTATTAATGTACTTTAAAACTTCTGAATTATTATTGTAACATAGTTGCCTATCAACAAATCCTATTCATCAAATATGATATGTTTAATGCTGAGGTTTGCATGCACACAAGTACTGGACCGTTATCAAGGAATAATATCTATGGCATATTGGGTAACAATTACTGTATGTTCTCCAATGAAAGAGTAATCTCTGTTGCATATGGAAGATGAACTTAAGTGGTAGTGGTTTGATGTAACTGCACGTGGGAGTTGCTATAAGAGAAAAATTGAATTATCAAGCTCTTGGAACGACTAGTTATCTATTATTTGGCCGTCATTAATTATATGGATTCTCTTTGTGATTATAGTCAATTTGTTTCGTTTTAAATAAAATCTAGCAGCAGTGAATGCATTATTGTCAAATGGGTTCAGTTAAAGGATTTGTTTGTTTTCGGTTCAGTTTATGAACTCTAATGGACTCCCTGATTATTCATTTGATTCTGTTATCTTTAACTGAAGGACTGTTGTGTGTGACTTGCAGGCTTTGCAGATCAAGAGTAACATATTGCGGTTTTCTGGCTTTGTCTGGCATGAAAATGAGGTAAAAATAACTCATATCGGTAGGAGAATATGGATCTTTTCACATGAATAGACCTTTTCTTATGCTTTTCATCCTAGTTTGAAAATGTTTTCTATACCTTGACAATTTGTTAAAGCTAAGCCCTAGAAGCATGATATTAAGATTCATAAAAATCATTACATATGAAAAGAAAATATATCTTCTCGTAGATATCAAAGAGTTAAGGTGCATACTAAAAAATGGTACAAGTTTTAAGTTAGCTGGGGATAAAGAACTACTGCAGTTATTGAGTTCTGCATACATGGTGGAAGTGTTATATGAGGAAGCAAGTTTTGATAGTAAAGGATTAAGGGTCTAAAATATACCATATAGGGTCAAGCTTGAGATATCATTTGATCGTTGTGACTATAATTCCTACAGCGGTAAGTATTTATTATTTTTGCAGGAAAAGCTAAAAGCTAAGGTGCAAGAGAAGCTTGACAAGTGTAATAAGGAGAAGTTGTTTGAATTCTGTGATATGCTTGACATACCTATTACCAAAACTACGGCGAAAAAGGTCTGTATGGTTATCATGTTATCATATAAAATCAACTGTCCGATTATTTAAGAGTTCCTGGTGCTAGGATTCCATTTTTAACGATGGTATAGTGTTAAAAACCGCAACGTGCATACCCAATTTTTTGGTCCAGCCTAACTGATTGTAGATTCGTAATACTCCATATACTTGTTTTTGAATGTCTGACATTCTCTTTCACATCACAACGCAGTATGGGGTATGTTTCTTTGTTGCATGTCATCGTGTTTTAGGTAATTTAGGGGCTGTTTGATTGGTTTTCCATCAAGTCCTGTATGGATAAAGTTGCCTGCGTGGATTAATCTGTCTATATAGATTGAAAAGATTTTTTGGGAGGGTTTTTTCATAGATGGAATGGAAGGAGCGTGTTTTTTAATTGGGAGGGGCAGGTTTAGAAAAAAAAACTTGGCCTTTCTGCATAAAGCTCATCCCTATAAACTTATTGAATAAGTTACTTTCTATATTATTAAGCTACTACCGAACAGTCATGTATAGCTGGCTGAATAAGCAGCGAGTCCGATTAAGCTCACTAAGCTGCTAACAGACCCTTAGGCTTACATTTTTGCCGGAGAAGAGTAGCAAAAGAGCATGTCATTGGACATGATGACATACTATAACATCATATGGCTTAGATTTTCTGGCGAAACTAGCATGGCAGCATGACATTATGCCCACTTTTGTATGCAGGAAGATGTCATTGCAAAGCTGATAGACTTTTTGTTGGTTCCTCATGCCACAACTAGTGAGTTACTTGCAGAGAAAGAGCAGGTTTGGCATTTTTGTCACAACTCCTAAAATTGGTCTCAACTCCTAAAATTATTTGCATACTATTGTGATCTCTCTTATGTGAACATATTCTTCAGTCAAGCAAAGGCAACAAACGTAAGAGGGAGAGCAAGAAAAGTGTATCAACTTCTGGGGCTGCATCTTCAAAAGACTCTTCGAAGGTACCTTCTCTTATTTGTAAATGAATTCAGGAACAACTAAACCCGAATTGCATAAGCTAAAAGCAATCCATAAGAGGAGAGCATCTGTAAAACTGATACTTGAAGTATGATGTCTAATCACACTTTTTCCCTGGTTTTTGCAAATAAAATGCGGAGAGCTTGTTTCATGGTGGCTCAAAATCCACTGTGCCTGATTGTAGTCCCCACTCCCCCCGTCCCAAAGAAGTGTCCACATTTCTATCTTGGTTTGTCGCAAAACAAGGTTCCACTTTTAAAAGTAATTGCTTACTTTCCAATTCTACCCTTAATTATGAGATCAAGAAATTCATTACTCCCTCAATAACATAGCATTCTCGAATTTGGGGAGAAAAGAAAAGAAATGGATGGAAAAGGATGGGAGGGGAAAGAAAGGAATGTGAACATAGTTTTTTATTTGTGTTCTTGGTGGTAGCGATTGGTATGCATACATGACATGATAAGACAGGACATGACTAATTGTTTGTCTTGCATTTGTTAAACTAGACAGGATAGGACAAAACTGTTAAAGTGAACAAATTGCCCCTAAATGCTGTTTAATGCTATTTTCATATCATATAATGATTCTAAATGACACAAATCAACCAAAATATTAAATAATTTTATCTATAATATGTATACAATTTTTTAAATATGTATAAATGATTTAAGAACATTTCAACACAACAATTGTAAATACGTACATAATTTAAGAACATTCCAACACAACAATTGTAAATACGTACATAATTTAAGAACATTCCAACACAAAAATTGTAAATACGTACATAATTTATTTAAGAACATTCCAACATAATAATTCTAAATACGTACATAATTTAAAAAATTTATAATGCAACAATTGTAAATAACGTGTCATACCATCATTAAAAGTTTAGACATTCAAAATACCACAATTGTCTTCACATGTCAAGTGTACCAAAAATAATCTAAACTTTCCAAGATAACAATTGTTTTCACCATATTCTAAAACAATTACTTGTCCCCATCATAAATTGACTCCACAAATTCTAGTTTCACATCATCATCAAAACTCTTCCAAAAACGATATTGGGATGGTTTGTCCTCAAAGTATTTACCCATTCAAATGATTTCCATCACACTAAGTCCAAGTCACTTCAACTGCTTGCTTAAGCCATCCATTTTGGTTGTAGAATCCGAGATGACTGAAACCAACTTTTCATTTGATTGGTTGCTTCATGGATTTCATTCTTGGTTTCTTCCACTAGCTTGGATAACTCGACTGTCCTTTTTCTCTTTTTACTGGTGCCTTCTCCTTCATTTGGAATGGAGAAATGAGAAGTATTGGAAGGACTTGCAATGGGGGGAACATTGACTTCAGTCACAAAACCGTCATCATTTTCCATGTTCATGTTTTCCAATGCGTCGGTAGCAGATTTGGCCATGTTTCCCGTCACATGATCTTTCCCGAACACCAACTTCAACTGCTCGTAAGCCGGGAATGGCTTATTAGCCATGTAGTTCTTGTTAGGATGTTCCTATGACAACAAAAAAACAAATAATTAATAAAGAGTAACAAAAAACATTATAATTACCATCGTCTAATAATCCACCACGAGTTTTAAGCAAATCACACAAAATTGCAAAAACATTTCTATCCATTCACAACTCATTTATACAGTTTACGACATTACGTTACTTTCGCGTGTAATACGTTTTATTTCGGTTGATCTAATTTGAAGTCTAGTGAAAGTTCTTTGACCCAAAGTTTCTCTTTCACTATATCTATTCTTCCATTCAATTAACCAAATTGTAAGGAAAAAGAAATACATGAGCATTTGAATGTAAATATTCCATATCTTAACGAGTACAACCAAGTGATTCCGGTCCATCACTACAAAATTCACAAAACAAAGTGATAAGGATCAAGATAAATTAGTTCAAGGGGATAAAATGTTAAAAGTTTATAAAAGGAGGGCTAAAAAGGGACAATCGGAAAGTGG